TTGGTGAGGGTGTCGAAGTTTGAGATCGAAATGAAGGAAGAGAGAGTGTGGAATTGTAAGAGTTCTACTTTTTGTCTGTCGCTGAGAGAATTTAGGAAACCAGCTTTCAATTTCGAGAAGGCACTGTCTTCTGGGGCGAAGAGAGTTAACCCTCCGGAGCCTGAGGTTAGAAGCTGTGAGTTGAGTTGGTTGATGAGTTGCGTGGTTTTGAGGAGCCTAATGAGAACGGAGAATCGCTTGGCTTTTCTGAGGATTTGGACTATGTCAATGGAGGGTGCTTTTGGGACAGTGGGGGTGGGTGCACCACTTGGCGTCACAGGGACTAAGGGTACTGTGTTGAATCCTGGGGCTGGAGCAGTGGCTGGTGGGGAGGGTGGTGTGAATGCTGGTGGTGATGGTTGCGGTGGAGATGGGAGTGATGAAACTGGGGCTTGAATTGGTGAGAGTTGGGCTGAAGTGGTGTGGAAGAAGGCAAGTGCTAGAGCTAGTAAACTGAAGGCTGAGAAGAGAGATTGTTGTGTCTTCATTTTAGGGTTCAGGAGTGAGTTCTTACGTGACGGGGTAGGGCACTTTGAGGCTTCTGTTACTTGGTAGAGTAGTGTTGTGAGGAAAGAGGGGGTAAGAGGATGGCTTTTATTTCGGGGCTGGGAGAGTCATTCCTGTATAGGTGTAGGGTTTTGATATGAAGGAGGTGAGTTGCATCTTTCTTATGAAAGTTGGAAATCTGCTATAGCTATCATGGACATGGAAAGGTGGTGCATCTTGTTTGATAGTTGTGCGAGACAGAAGAAATTTGGCAGTGATAAAGGAGTAGGAGGCTAATGTTGACAAACAAGTATTTTAAGTTGTTCATATTATCAATTGATGTGTTTTTGTAACGAGTGGTACATCGTCAATTTATAGGCCTTTGGATATCACCTCTCAACTACATGCAATACTTCATGAGTTCAGATGAAATGAACTCGCCTCCTCGATCAGACCTAACAGATTTGATAGGCATGTCAGTCTCTTTCTCAACCATTGCTTTAAATCTCTTGAACATCTTAAACACCTCGAATTTCTCCTTCAAAAAATATACCCAGGTTTTTCTTGAAAAATCATTTATAAAAGAAATGAAATACCTTTTCCCACTGAAGGACTCAAGGGTAATCGGTCTACAAAGATCTGTGTGAATCAATCCGAGTTGTTCCTTTGCACGGTACTCGACCGTCCTCGGAAATGAGGTCCTCGAATGCTTTCCGATCACACACTCTTCACAAAATTTCTTTTCAAATTTCATAGACGGGAGTCCTCGCACCATCTCTTTCTTTACCAACTCGGTCAGCCCGCCAAAATGCAAGTGGCCAAACCGAAAGTGCCACATCATTGCTTCATCCTTCACGTCAAGTTTCAAGCACCTCTCTTGGACTATCTTCAAGTCCAGCTTGTACATTCTGTTCTTCTTCATTTCAAACGATCTGACTTGTCCTTCAGGTATAGTACTCGGTTTTTCATTAGAACCGAGTAGCCTTTCTCCATCAGCTGACCCATGCTCAATATGTTATTTTTAAGATCGGGTACATAATACACGTATCTGATTTCTCCAACTCGGCTATTCTTCTGCAGGTACCAGATTGTACCTCTGTCTTTTACTGCCACCTTTGATGCATCTCCAAATGACACGTGTCCGGCCTCAACTTTAGTGAGCTTCTTAAAAAGGTTCTTATCCCGCACATGTGGTTACTTGCTCCTGTATCAAGATACCAAATCGAGTTGTCAGAACAGCTCGGACTTAGCTCGACATTCGAACTTCTCGACATCATCAATACTCCTTCTTCCTCAGTGTCCTCAGAGAGGAGGTTTGTCTCCTTCTTCCTCTCAGATCGGCAATCCTTTGCGAAATGCCCAACCTTCCTACAATTATAACATTTGATACCTGAATAGCAGTCCTTAGCAAAATGACCATATTTCCCACATTTGAAGCACTCAACTCCGGAATTGCTTGACTGACCACCTCGACCTCTACCGTCACGACCTCTACCTTGTCTTCGGTCATGCCAGTTTTGTTGACTGACTTGCTCCTTTCCTCTTTCATATTCTCCTCTGCCTCTACCACCTCGGCCTTGAGTGTTCTGAGCATAAGGAACCTTTTTCTCCTTTAAGGTTGCATTTGCTTGGAGTGCTTGATCAAGGGACTCCTCTTTCTTCTTCCTTCTCCGCTGCTCATGCGCTTCAAGCGACCCGGCAAGCTCTTCCACAGAGAGCACCGACAAGTCCTTGGACTCTTCTATTGCACAAACGATATTCTCAAAGTCGTCAGTTAACGACCTTAAGATTTTCTCCACCACTCGGCAAGTGGGCAGCGTCTCTTCATTTTTTCCGAGTTGATTCACCACGGTCTCAACACGGGAGATGTACTCGGCAACCCTTTCGACTTTTTTCATCCTCATGCTTTCAAGCTCGCCTCTAAGAGTTTGAAGCCTGACTTGCTTCACGCGATTATCCCCTTTATATGTCTTCTCCAGAATATCCCACGCTTCTTTTGAATATTTAGCATTTGCTATCTTCTCAAAGCCGAACTCATCAACAGCTCGGTACAATATGTACAAAGTCGTTTTGTCCTTTACTCGTATTGCTCTGAATACAGCAAGCTGAGCAATCGTATGCTCTTCAATATTCTCTGGTTCTTGGTGCCCATTTTCGACTACATCTCATACTTTTTGGGAACCAAGGAGAGCCTTCATTTGCAGGCTCCAGTTATCATAGCTTACGCCTTTTGATAACTTTGGCAGGGGCATGCTGTTAGCTAAGTTTACCATCTCAAACAAACTCTCTAACTCTCAAACACTCTCTCTAACGCACTCAGACACTCAGACTCTCAAGCTCTGATACTAATTTGTTGACAAACAAGTATCTAAATAAAACACTCTGTATATTATCACTTGATGTGTTTTTGTAATGAGTGGTACATGGTCAATTTATAGGCCTTTGGATATGGCCTCTCAACTACATACATTTAATATAACTACTATTTTTCAACTACATACATTCAATATAACCACTATCTCTCAACTACATACATTTAATACAACTACTACCTCTCAACTACTACCTCTATAACCACTATCTCTATAACCACTACCTCTCAACTACATGCATTTAATGTTTACCTAATAGCTAAAGTGATGGAAATGTGCATGTATGGAACTATTTGTGTTCACGTCGTAGTTGCAATCAATTTGTCCCTGAAAATGTAATTGTTGGAAAAGGGTCTATTATGGTGTGTGATCTGTTTAGAGGTTGAGTTATTCCATCCAAGAACAATCCCTCCCAAGTGGCCTTGTCTGCCAGGTTTTGGTAACAAGGACTGGGGAGCTAAGAATCGCACTTGAAAGTTGAAACCTACAATACTTTTTTGTTCTACATACAGTACTAGTATTTTTTCCCTATTGCACGACCTTGCTTTTTGTATCTCATCTCCTTTACCTTTCGTATAAAGATTTTACTGTTTCATTAGGCCAAATGCAACTAAACATTAGTTTTAGTATAGTCTCTAAACATAATGTCTTGATTTTCCCTCTGGTAGGCTTTCTTTTCGGTACTATATATCACAACCACTTTTAAAAAAGAAAAAGAAATGGAGGTATAGAGAGAGGTCCCTATCAACAAAACATCTAATATATGTAACGTACCACATAGAAAAACCCAAAAAAGTAATCAAAATACTGTAAAAGGTGAGGAAAGTTATGTTTGGATTGTCGTTAAATATCCGTTGAAGTGTGCTAAAAGCACTTATAGATAAAATATTCTTTGTATATAAACGATACTTAAAACACTCACAAAATAAAAAAAAGAAAAGTGAAGTGAAGTTTCATTTTGAGTGATATTGAATTTGATATTATATATAATTATCTTTATATATTTTTACTTATTTGGTCTGTTAGCATTTAACAAAAATATTTCTTTAAAATAAAATCTATACCAAAAAAGTTATCCCACTTTTTATCATATACTACGGCATCTGCCTCAAGTTAAGAATGTTTTACTTCTTAATTAGATCCGGTTTAGAGAGATGCAAATCCCATCTTATTGTATGATCTAACATTCAATCAAATCCCCAGGTTGTATGCGTTGCTTTTACACGAAAGAATAAGAACCTCATTTCTTTTACTTGTTAAAAATATATTATTTATATAATATTATTTTTCATTTCCTTTTACTTGTTTTTCTTCTTTTAAGTCATAATATTATTTTACATATATAATACTATTAGATCTTTACCTGGACTAACTCAGCACCTGTAACAGAAAATTACACATGGACTCTGAGATAGGGAAAAGGATAAAAGAGAACGAAGTATATTCACATGAATTGATAATCAAAGAAAGATAAAATTACCAATATAGAGTGTCTTCAGGGTTGTCATATCCAAATAAAACTACACTCCATAACAGCTTATGATTTTTGACTAAAAGAGCAATTTGAACTCCTGTAACTACTATAAGATATTTTAAACACGCCGAAAGCCTTCAATCACGTCTTCTTCTGCATAAGTAAAAAACAGAACCCTCAAATGCCATTTGAACACAAACCAATGTCATTATTTTGTTATCCAACAGAACATTCAACATGCTTAAGACGTTTGATTGTAAGCTTAAGACATTTTGTTCTGCACAGTCACAGCGTTGAATAAGATTCATGAATCCTTACCGCAGAGTGCACGAACTAACATCTCCAAGTATATTGGATTAGATGTTTGCAATTTCAAAGTGTTACTGACTGGAAACAAATTGGGCAGTTACACAAACGATAATATGAGAAAGTCAAGTATTCAATTCATTTCTCAAAAAGTAGCAGACATATTTTATTTGAAGAATAGCTCTCATAAAATAATCTTTCTGGCTAGGAAATACAGACAAAACCAAGAAAAAGAACGTAGAGATAACTTCACAAAATGAACAGTTCTTGCAGTTGTTCTGAAAATTAAGGAACAGCCTTTAAATGGATGCTCTTCACTCAACTTAGAAAGTTACTGCCGCGATTAAAGCAACACCAAGTGAGACCAACATTGTTGCATGAATGCTAATTAGATTGATGGCAGCGGCTGCAGAAGTTGCTTTGGTTGACTCTCTCTTATCATCATCTTCTGCAGTATCTTTATAAGATTTAGGTGCATTTGCCATAGTGGGAGCAGGAGCTGGAGGCTTAGGCTTTGAGATATCCAAAGGAACAAGCACCTTGTCCACGTGATAAATGGCAAGTGTCTTATCAGTGTACACAATGCCTGTGAGAGTAGCATTCACCACCCCAGTTGAAATATTCACACTATTCCCATATGCAGTCACATTTATTTGGTAACCGTTGGGGCTGTCACTGGCCAGTGTCAGCACAGGGTTGCTAAGAGAGTCAAAGTTAGAGCTTGAGACATAAACCGGAAGAACGTGGAACTGTATCAATGCTTTCTGTTGACGATCATCCAGAGAGTTGAAGTAACCTGGTTTGAGTTGAGAGAAGGCACCATCATCAGGTGCAAGAAAGGTTAAACCTCCTCCAGATTTTGTAGTGACCAACTGTGCATTGACTTGGTTGATAATTTGTGTGGTTTTGAGCAAGCGGATTAGCGTGTTGAACGATTTGGCCTTCCTTAGGATCTTGATGATGTCTTGATTAGAAGAAGAATCAGACATGGGTGATTGGGGTAATGAAGGGACCAGTGGTTTTGTTGGAGCTGAAGCTGGTCCGGTCGGGGGTTTAGGGGCAGAAGCTGGTGACTGGGCTAAAGTGGGGGTAGAAAAGATAAGAGCGAAAAGTACTAGATTGAAATAGAAGATGATTTTCTTCATCATCTTTAGGCAATTAAAAACTCTATTGATTGGTTGCTTTTGGAAATGTGCAAAATTGCAATTTACAGGTTGTTGTTATTACAATGATTGTTTGCTGTGTAGAATGTGTAATGGAACATACTGCTTTTATAGATGATGGCAATGGAAGGTGAATCATAAATGATTGGTTGTTAAAATGTGAAGTATGGACATAAATGATTGGTAGTTAAAATGTGCAGTATGGAAGTAAGCTAAGTGCTTGGAGATTAAGGTAGTATGTCAAGCCAGGTAAGGTGACAGAAGGGGGTTTCGCTTTGCGGGTGTCTCTTGCTTGGAAGTGCAGAAAGAAAATGATGGAGAGCTTGGTTGTAAGAAGATAAAAGGTGTATTATACATTAACATTTCATACAGATAAGGAAAACCCCTTTTTTATTCAAGAACAACCGATGCCAAGTCACTTCTGTAACAAAGAATAAGCCTAGTGAAATTGTCTGTAAATAAAATTATTCTTGAATTATCTCTAGATTAATTTTCATCAGTTGTTTAGGAATGACCACTTTTCTGTCTAGATTTTCTGTACGTTCCGCAATTTGCTAAACCCCAGAAAAAATTGGTGACAGTAAATCAGTTTTTTTTTTTTTTTTTTTTTTTTTAAATTAGTTGTGTTTTCTTTTTTGAAATAGCTGATTATGCCTCCTTTCTGAGCATTACTTATAGGAGAGTTAGCTTTGTTGTTGGAGATGTTTTTTCCTTGTCCTCAAATGCTGACCTGTTAAGGGAACATTCATTTAGTTAATAATGTATCAAATAGCAGAACTAGTTTGCGTTACATTATTATCAGAAAAATAAATTAGAATGTGGATCACAGATAGTGAGTAGCCACTAATGTTGCAATCCTTATAATCAAGTTCAAATGGACCTGCTCTACTCAATTTAATTCGACCTTAAACATCATCAAGAATGACAAGGAACCTCTGCTCCTTCTTGATCCTTTCATAAAGATGCTTAGCTAGCTATTCCACTCATCGATTTGGAAACCCTAAGTTCCTAGTTTTTTAAATTAGTTGGGAAAACCAATAATTTTTTTCCAAATAATAATGCAAGTAGTGAACAGTTAGGTGTACAGATTGTTATTTCTCGTTATACAACATAAATGAAAGTTGAGATAATTAGAAGTGTTGGTGAAACGTTTGATTTGATTTCTTATTAAATAATCGCATAAATCACAAATAAAAATGAATTGTGGTCAGTTTTGCTTAATTTTAATTTAATATAAAATTTAAATTAAATCTAACCTATGTTTTATAATTTGGTTTCAATTGGTTTTTATTATTAAAAAAATGTTAATAAAATTATGAAACATTTTCTTATAAAAAATTGATAAGTGTTTTATATGAAAATTTATTAAATAAAAAAATGTTTTATTGTTGTTATATTTATAATTTAACTTTCTCTTATTTATATATAATTTTTTACATATCTTATAAGTAGACATATCACAAATTTACTATCATATTTTGAAAGTATAAATAATTTTAAGTAAAATACAATCAAATTATTAAAAAAATCTTTAAAAATGTATTTATGTATAGTTATTAGTTGTTAATTTAGTCTAATATATAATATATGTTTAAATGTGGTAAATGATTTGGTTTAGTTGTTAATTTTCAATCCATAAAATCAAATAAGGCATATTAAAAAAAAGTTGATATAAAAATATGTTGATAAGCTTTTAGTTTTTTTTTAATATTGATTTTGGATTGTTTTTTAGTAGTTTGATTTTGAACTGATTAAAAGCCAGTCAATCTTCTTTTCAATGGATATGAACATTAGTATGTCAAATATTATGTAAAAGGAGAAGAAAACACTAACGCCCATTCTAAAAGAGAGGAAATCACAATCCTAACAGAGATCTTGTAATGGAGAGAGATTTTTATGCTTCTTTAATAAAAATTGTAACAAGTTTTGATTTTCAACAAAGTTTAACGTCTAGCTATTATTGCAGTATTAATTACATAATCAAGTTGTGTTTCTAAACTCTGATTGGAGCTTTCCCAATTGAAGTCCAATAGAAATTTTTTAAAAAAGATTGTTTTTTCTTATGTTAAAACTAGCTTATTATATATTTTTAATTTTTAATTTAGTCCACAAACAAAATTTAATTTTAGAAGAAATTTATTTCATTTTGAATTATTTATTCTAAAAGTTCTCATTAAATGACCAATAATAGGAGACATTTTATGGATGTAAAGTGAATGATAGGTAGGTGATTTAAAAATGACAAATAATATTAAAAAAATGGGGGTTTAGGCGATACATCAAGGCAGATAAAAAATGGGGATTTGGCTCCTGTAATATAGCCTCTAACTTTGGCTTGGAAACTCAGGTAAAACTCCCGTTAAGGAAACAAGGTTGTGTGCTGTAAAAGATCCACAAATCCCCCAGTTTTATTCAGAAAAAAGAAGAAGAAGAAAATAAGACTGTGGTAATTTTTCTTATGATTAATGATGTTATACTTGAAATGAATGGAGTTTAAAGTTCACTGCAACCTCTATCCAGTGTTGACTTGTATTTAGATGAATAATATTTTCACTTCTGATTTTTCTAGTGCAAGATCATGCTTACCATGCCATTTCAGAAGCCATATAATATTATAAAAAATTATGTTTTGAATATAACGACTCTAAAGTCTTACAAGGAAAAAAAAGGTTTTTATAAGAATAATTGTTAAAATTTCAAAAGTTTATGTTTTCATCAAATAAATTCCCACATCTGGAGGTATATAATAGAATCTGAAAGAAAAGAAATGACACATCCTGTTCAGATGTTAAACAGTTTTAAATAAGAAACGTCTTTGCAAACTTTCCATCCTATAATCCACCATAACTCTTGAGCAGAATCTTATATTTTAGTTCATTCAACCACATTTAAGCCTTTTTCTTTGTCAATATGAGGAAGACACGATAGATCTTGTAGATTGGCCATATCAATTTTGCCCGCTTCCCAGGAGAATCCTCCAAATAAGATAGCACTGAGCTTATAATACCAATCCATCGCTTATAGTCAAGTGTAAGATGCACGATCAACACCACTAAACCAAGTCCACAAGTGAAATACAGGATCCAACTTGATAAGAATTCAAAGATCAATACTGAAGCGGAAATTAGAGCGGTGAACATGAGTCCAAGAGAACAGAAGAGTGCCACATTCCCAAATACCAACTTTGTTTGCCGCAAGCGGACAGACTCTTCTTTTGGTTTTGCCCAACTTGAAGGAAGAATAACCGAAGCATAGAAGAACATAGATGAAACACAGAAGCATGTTCCAAATGCAACCGATAGAAAGAAAAACGTGTACCATATCTTCCTCGTAAAAAAAGGAGTATTTGTACCATCAATATTCTCGATAGGAATGGTCATGGCTCCGGTGATCCCTAGGCTGACGATGAGAGTTGCTACCACTAACAATGTATTTGTCACAGCTAGCAGTCCTGATATTGATTCTTTGTGCAACTCTTCGTGTGACTCATAGAACACTTCTCCAGGAGTCTTACCATATATGTTTCTCATTGTTTTCATTGCAGGTGGAACTATTTTCTCCACAATCTGCTTGGTTAAAAGTGAAGACTATTATAGTGAGGAAGATAAAGAACTTAAGTAGTGACGTAATTATAAAAAATGTAAACATTTTTATAGTTTTCTATACATATAACAAAAGAGAGGTATTGTTTCTAACATATTTCCTTTTATTGCCAATAATATTATAAATACATAAGGAAAGTGTAAAAAAGACAATTAGTAACGAGGAAAACATTATTTCTAAAAATAATGGTAATGGTGTATGTATATACATACCTGAAACCATCTCTCCTCACTACGCATTAGGACATAGTATGCTGTTAATCCGGATTTTTCTTTAGGTTGTGTCATCTTTGCAGCTAAGTGAAGAACAGTGTTATCCTCTATATCAGCCAATTGTATCAAAACACTCTTGGCAGCGCCCTTGCTTAATATTAGTCGGTATACAGATTGTTGCCGATGAAGAATAGCAACGTGAAGTAAGCTTTGCTTGCTGGAATTCACTTCAAATAGCAAATCAGGATGGTACTTAAAAAGACGTTTTAAAATCCGAATGTTTCCTGATTCTGCTGCATCGAACATTGCTTTTGACACCTGTGCATGGTTGATAGTCTCTTGCTCCCTTTCCATTCCATTAAACACCGAACAGACAATTCCTTGATGGGCAATATTTCCCTCGCACAAGGCTACCATTGAGTTTAAATTTCAGTCACATTCACTTACATGCTATTAAATTTAGTCAAATAAAGTAAATAGTACACAAATATCAGATACAGTGCCCCCTTAGCCCAACATGATTAATATCTAGGTTAGCACTGGAATATCTGTAAATGGTCCTGTGACTATCTTTGTTATAATTGCTGGTATAGTTACATGTTTAGGTTGACTAACAAGGTGTAACAAAGGTGTTGGAAGAACAGAATGAATTGTCAGCCACATTGTCTTCAGATAGAAGGAGGAGATTACAGCCAACACAATACGATATAAATAACTCTACCATATAATGTGTTGCGAAAAGTTATGATTGAAAAGACTGCAATGGAAGATGTAATAATGTTAGAATAACTAAAGTGTCTAAGGATGATGAGAACTCACAAGATTGAGCAAGCATTTGCAAAGGTGTTAATCCCTCTTCGTTTTCAACAGTAACTAGTTTTGATTCGCTATCCAATAATTTTGATGCCACGGCTATCGTATATATAGAGTCATGTCATGAAGCAAGAGAAAAGTGGCATTACAATAAATTACTGTTAAATATTATGCAAAAGTTCTTCAGCAACATGAGGTTAACTTTAGCAAGAAGAACAGCGTGATGCAGTGGGTAGCTTGTGTGGAGAAAAGTGAAAGAGTTATATTTTGATGAACATCATCTTACAGTAAATATTGTTGTTCATGGTCAAGAAAAATAGCTTCACAATGTCTGGGAAGGATAGCTTGGTTTGTAGGTCCTCTGTAGTCTTTAGATATAAGAATTCTGTCAATTGATTGTGCCCTGCAGAAGATGCTAATTGAATAGGAAGCATATGGTTTTTGTCTCTAATCCATAGCAACCTTGCATTCTTGCGAAACAGAATTTCAACAATTTTCAAATTTCCAGTTATCGCAGCCAAACAAAAGGCCGTGTTCCCTTCTACCTTGTAATTTTCCAAATCTTCCATGTTCATACAATACATCAACTTTTCTATGAAACTAGTTTGTTCCATGCTCACTGCAACGTGTAGGGCTGTTGTTCCAACAGCACTTAATGGAATTCGCCACCAATAAGGATGAATTTTAAAATAGGATGAAGCCTCATTCCAATTTCCTGAAGCTGCTCCCATATATATTTGCCTTTTTTGCCTTTCTGCATATCAAGCATTTCTTATAATCAAATTTCTTTCACAAGTTTGACTTAATCTCAAAATTATAGTAAATAACATGAATAAGTACATAAATATTTTAAATATAAAATTTATTGTTTCAATTCACAGCCATATATAATGTTTTTCACTGATAATACGTTGTCATGTTATTTAATAAGTTGTATGGAATCGTTAATATGATAAAGAACCTTTGTGTACGCTATAATTTTCCAATTTTTAAAATAAGAAAACGAAAATATATTAAACATTAATTATTTAAGTCAGATACAATTTTGGATGCTGACGGAATTTTAATATATAATTGTATAGGTTCCAATAGACTTTATACTATTTATTGTAATTATTATTCTATTTATAATATTTATTTTGTTGTTTAGACTAAGATATGGGTAGGTGATAGTTTTATTTATTTCACATTGTTTTCTTAGTTATTATATTAGTTGACGTGATGAAAGTGTAGGGTTTATTTAAATGTAAGAAAATTTTACTTTATTTTAATTGTAATTAAATATATCTTCAGCTATATTCTAAATTAATAGTAGAATACACAATAAAAAAATATAATAATTAAAAGTATAATTAAAATTAATTATTTGTAAAAAATAAAAAATTAGAGTTCAAAATTAAATGAAAAAAATAAATTTGTTAACACTGAGAAATATATTTCAGCAATAAAATAAAAATAAAATTTATAAACACCTTATTAACATTTCTGCATTTCATATTTATCAGTTTTTTGAATATACAATTTTACGAAACATTGTTTTTTGAAAGATAGTCTATATCGTAATAATTGTAACTCAATCTCTAGTTTCGTATTTTAACTAAAAAATAATTTAAAAGTTATGAATATGAAACCAATAGTTCATTTCTTCTTGCGCCACTTATAGTCTATAAAAAAAAACATGTATTATTCTATTTGGTCGAAGTTCTACATTAATATATAGAAAAATATTGTATTTAACCTAATTATCACCATTCAAATATGTTTTTTTTTTCAATTTGAAAAATTAATTCTACATGTTAGTTGAGTAAATCAATTGAATGTTTCACACTTATATAAAGTAAAAAATATAAAAGGTATTTACTGTAAGTCGTAAAGGATGAAATTAGATAGACAAACTAAAATCTGGAATGTTCTTATTTACTTTCGTATTTTTTTTTTCTATTTGTTAATATCTTTACTGGATATCTCATATAAGTTGTCACTAAAGAATAAATAATTTTCAAATATTAGAACAGAAAACAAATCAATTAAACAGACATACTGTCTAGCTCCAGGAAACTGCTTTCGAGTGCCTGCCATTGTGAATCCTGCGTCTGATGCACAACAATATTCACTTCTCCACTATCTGTAGATACACTTATCAAAGCATGTGTTATTATGCATGTCTAGATTAGAAATGAAACATGGTTAATGCAGGAATAAGCGAAATAAGTACTTTGTTTATTGTCTTTATATTGTTATACACACGAAAGTACAAAACTGAAACTGAGCAGGCGCGCATAATGCACAGAATTTATTACTCAAATTAACAATGTCATAATAATTTAGAACTAAACATACTCTCTGGCATGGTGATCGCATCTGAGTCTGAAATTTGCGTTGTAATTTTCATCTTCTGATTCCGGCTACTGGAAATAGTGACAGCAGATGGTAATGCTCTTTATCGTTGATAATTTTCTTCGCTAATAATCTATTTCATGGTCAGAAAAATGAAAGAAAAGAAATGGAGAAGGCTGAGAAGTGTCACTTGTGCATCGTGCTTGCCTTGAAGTTCCATTATATAGCTCCTTCACGACTTTGAATTCTACTGCCAAAATCTCCTGTGTCATATGAACCCTACCCTAGCTACATATTCAGCCATACTGTTCTTTTGCACGTTCTTACATCCATGCAATATTCCCTGCGTCTTTAAATTATTTTTCTTTTGGGTACAAGCTTTAGACTAGTTTAACTTAAGGCACCAAAGACAGCTAAACAAATATTAGCATGTTTGAAGCGTAGTTTAAATAATTGCTTTAATATTCAAACAAAAAATTGCTTTCACACATATGTAGGCTGTACTTGTAGATACATAACATGTGATGCGACTTTTTTATTCTTATGTTATTCTTTTCTTTATTCTTAGCATGCGATGCATGTAAGTGTAATTAAATCGAGATATAATTTGAAATAGTTTGACTAATAAGAAAAAAAGTATTTTAGAATTGCTACAGTTCAGCTATGAACGTGCTCTTTGGTCTAGATGAATGATACGATGTAATCTGAATTGTAGAGAATCGGGATACAGATCCTCTGCAGTTTACATTTAATCTGCACGAATTCTTAGTACTTAAAATATAAATCTTGTGTTATTAAAAAAGTTATAAATAATTAGATATAATGAGTAAAGTCGTTGAATTCAACTGCATTATCTTTTATTTTATTAAAAGTTATAAACAATTAGATACGATCATTGAAAGCCATTGTATTTTTACTCGAAGCTTGAATCTATCAATCCGAAAGGAGGTATTTTCAAGTTGGTGGGTATTAGTTACAAATTTACAAATAAATACGAAGAATAAGTTAGAAAATTGAAGAATTAATTGAGGGATAGGAGGAAAGAGAAAAAGTGTCAATGAAAGAATTCGAGGAAAGAGGAAAAATAGAAAATCAAAGAGTCAATTTAGGGATTTGAGAGTATAGAAAAGGAAAAAAAAATCAATAAATCAAATAATTGAGAAAAATAAGTTATCGAACAAGAGTTAGAAAATCGAAAAAAAAAGTAGAGCAATAAGAGAAAATAGAGAAATCAAGGAATCATAGGAAAATTATTATTGAAAGGGAGTTACAATATATTGAGAAAAATATGAAACGGTTTCATCACATGACAGGGACAATGAAACAGTCGGGTTCATCACACCTTAGTAAAAAATTGATACAAGGATCGGAAGACAGAAGAAAGAAAATCGAATATCATACGATTGATTAAAAAGTTAATAAATCGGAAAGATGGTTGGAAGACACCTGGTGACCACGAGATAGTAAGAACATATAAATCGAGAATGGAAATCGAAAATAAAAAAAGAGAGAAATAAATCGATGAAAGTAATGATAAAATCAAGGTTAAGGGAAATCGAACTCGATAACTGGAATCGAGATCGAGAGGAACAGTTATCATGCAGATGAAACATGAAGAGTGGTTTTTTACATCGCGGCTAAGGTTAGAAATCGAGAAACGGTTATAATGCATATTGAACGTGGAAGCGGTTTTCTAAACCGTAAACTAAGGTAAAAAATCATGGAACGTGGTGACAGTTTTTTAAAACTGCTCTTGGGAGGTTATATTGAAGGATGCCTATAAATAGAACGAAGTTTGAAGAAGGAAAGGAAAATTGGCAGAGACAACAGAGGCGCAAGTGAACAGTCTACAGGAGAACGACACATCATGAAGTTTCTAATGCTCTGGATTTCCATTTTCATTGATTATCTTTATCGCTTTCTTTACTTTCCCTGGTAATTTACTTTCATGCAATTTATATTTATCGACTTTAAGTTCCTGTCCTTTCAATTCCTAGTCATTTACTTTTATGCAAGTTAAGGTTATGCGTTTAAGTTCCTCGTCATTTACATTTATGCAATTTAGATTTTCTGTCATTTACATTTCTGCATTTTCGATACCTTGCCATTTACACTTAATGCAAATTTGAGGTTTCCGTATTTTACATTTCTCTACAATTTAATATTCTGCACTGTTTTTCGATTCAACATTTTTACTGCTTTCTTTATTTCGTGTTTCTTAATAAAAAATACCAAAAATAGTACTTTCGATTGTTAATCTGTATGATATGTTGCGTTGTTAACATTTCTCAAAACTATGGTATTTTCGATTTTCATACATGTTTCGATTGAAAACTATTTGCTAGCCTAAATAAAAAGAATTTACGTGGTTAAAATTTGGTTAGAACTTAAGTTTCTGAGAAATCGATCAAATTTTCATAAGAAACTTTCGTCAACTTCCATCAATTTGGAGCCAAGGAGGTAGGTAAATGACAAGACAAGCGGTTCTTTAAAATGAGAAAAGAAAATGTGTCTTCCTAATCAAGACATACATGTTTCTCTATTACAGGTTAAGACATTACCACCTGTGGTTTTAAACTCACTACAACTGCATCGTCGTCGCAATTGTCTGGCCGTATTTATCCGCAATTGCCAATGTCAACGCTTATAACAAAATTGCACCACCAATTTAGAACCATGACTCAATAGAAAACAACTTACCTTGTTTCAATTGCTTGTAATATTTTCTCCTATGATTTTACCTACTTTGACTTGTTTTGCCATTTGCTTCAGGGAAAGGATATAAAGAATTTGACCAGGCCTAAAGTCCAATATGTTTGTTATACCTCTTTGGTCTTGTGATGGTGAATATAATTGAGGGAAATGGATTATCAGGTTTTGAGCCCAAGTTTTTAATTCTCGTCCTTTTCTTATTTTGCATTATAGACTTTCTTCCATCCCGTTAATTTATCAATACTTACCTTGTTTGATTGATGCACAATGAACAACACATGAAATGGATTGAAGAGTTAGCTTCTTTTCCTCTCCCTATATATTAAAAAACATATGCTGGTCTAGATCAAGATAATGTTTTTCATTCACCATTTCAGGAGGCATATATATTACATCAAGATTCACTTTCCCATAAACAAATTCCAGGTATTGCATACACAAGCTGTTCATTAGAGTAAAGATGTAAATATGAAACTTTAAAACGTATAAATAGATTCATTCTGACACACAGAAAACGTAAAGGACTGACACAACATCCTTTATTGTAAAACAATCTTAAAAATAAATGTTCTTGCTAACTTGCCATCTTCTAAAACGGTCAGAACTCTTGCCAACTACTTTAAGCCATTTTTGTTTCCTAATGGGTGATGGGATTCATATATCTTGCGGATTGGCCATAAATCTTGGCAACTTCGCTCGAGCGACGTTGGAGAACGTTAGCATTATACGCGATATAAAGTGATTCCACAGCCTATGGTCAAGTGCAAAATGCACCATGAATGCCATAAAACCAAGTCCAAAAGTGAAGTAAGGGCCCCAATTTGACATGAAGGTAAAGATTAAAGTGGCCCCGGAAATAGAAGCAAACAACATGAATCCAGCAGAGACCAAAAGTGACACACTACCAAATCGCACCTTGTTTTCCTTTAAGCGGACAGACTCATCTTTTGGAACCATATTTGAAGGAAAAATAGCTGAAGCATAGAACAGTATAGATGAGGCACAGAAACATGTTTCAACCCCAATTGACACAAAGAAGATCGTATACCATGTCTTCTTCCGAAAAATTGGAGTATCGGTACTGTCAATATCCTTAATAGGAATGGTTATAGCAACGGAAATTCCAACCGTGATGATAAGAGTTGCCACCAGTATTAAAGTATTTGCTAAAGCTTTCAGTTCAGATACAGATTCTTTGTGCAACTCTTTGTGTGACCGATGAAATAATTCCTTAGGGGTAAAACCATATTTGTTTCTCATTGTTTTCATTGCAGGTGGAACTATTTTCTCCACTTCCTGGTTAAAAGTGAACACTGAAAATTTTACTTATTTGTTGAATAATATTTTGTTATAAAACTTTTAAAGAAATTGAATGTATATTAAAAATATTTTAAGATTAATGAATTCAATTGATGTGGTTATATATGTATGAATCTAATATATATAACAATTTATGAGTCTTTATATAATATATATATATATATATATATATATATATATATATATATATATATATATATAACGGTTATAGAAAAAAATATAGAAGTAATAAAATAGAGAGTAATTTAGTTTTCATATTATTTTTTTTTCATTAAAAAATATTTTACACAATTTTATACGATGTTATAAAGAGTAAGTTCCTTAGTTGTTATATCAATATCATCTTTAGAATACTACTAACAAAATTGGTTGTAGATCTTAAAAAAAAAATAAAAAATCAATGATCACTAGAAATACTTGTGGAAGAGGAAGAAAATACTATGGTAAAAATGAAAATAGAAGAGAATCAATTAAATGGTGGTGTGTGAAATCTATAAAAAGAAAATATCACTTTTAAGAAATTTAAAGCATTTGTTGGGAAACAAAATAATAGGTTTATGAAAATCTTGAGAAGTGATGTAGGGAAACTTCCAATGAATTCAAAAATAGTTATAAAGACGAAGTAGTCAACAGATAATTTACTATTGGCTAGACACCTTAATAAATAATCAAACAGTGATCGATAATTACAAAATCCATGTTATTTAAAAGCAGAATATCCAAAGAATCTTGGCTAAAGACGGTTAATACAACAATTTATTTGTTAAATAGATATTCAACAAAAATTATTTGGAATTTGACATTATTTGAAACATAAAATGTAAGAAAGTTTTTAGTAAAACTATCTTAACTTTTTTTATGGGTTTGTTATGCTCAAGTTTTTAAATAAAACATAATAAAATTTAAAAAATCAAATGTGAGATGCATATTTATTGATTATAATTCAATGTGAAATGATCATAGACTTTAAAATTGAAAAACTAAGAAGGCGATCTTTAATTAAGATGTTAAGTTTGATTAAATGTTTTTTGAATTGACAAGGGTAGAGAACAACAAATTTTTAATAGTTTGCTACATAATTCAACAATTGAAAATGAAGAATTAATCCTAAATACACTAAATTTTTCATATTCATCAAGTTTTTCAAGTTCATTTTTAAACTCAACTCTTATAAAAATGAGTTTGAGTGATATTTATGTAAGATAACCAGAAAATTTTGAATAGACAATTAAAGAAAAAACTTGGAAAAAAAACTAATGTAATTGAAAAGAATAAAATATGAGAAATGATTGAGGAGCCAAATGAAAAATAAATTATATTAATGTGAACGAGTGTATAAAATAAAATATAATCTAAATAACTCAATCCAAAAGAATACAACAATATATACTTGTTGCATAAGACTATTTAATATAGAGGTTGATTTTAAAGAAACTTTTTCTCTCGTTGTACGATTAGATATTATTAAAGTTTTAATTTCCTTTTAGTTCTAAAATAGTGGAAAATATTTTAATTAGACGTGAAGTCAATATTTTTAAATAGTGAATTGAAAGAAGAAGAATATGTTAAGTAATCTTTTGAATAGTGAATTGAAAGAAGAAGAATATGTTAAGTAATCTCAAGAATTTGAGATAGAAGACCAAAAAATAAAATTTGTAAATTAAAAAAAGCTCTATATATGGATGGAAGGAAACTCTAAAACTGTGGTACAACAACATTGATACTTATCTCATATCTCATAGATAAATACTTTAAGAACAACAAGAATGAACCTACTTGTATGTCAAACAATAAGGCATAAGTGATATTTTGATTATTTCTTTATATGTGGATGATTTAATATTAAATAGAAATAATTTGAATTCAATTGAAGATTTTAGAAGAAAAATGACAGAGGAATATGAGAAGAATAATTTAGGCTTGTTGCATCATTTTCTTATGTTAGAAATTTATATAAAAAAATGATAGAGTCTTTATTTGTCAAAAGAAATTTATAAAAAAATGATAAGAGTCTTTATTTGTGATAAGAAAATGCTAAAAAACCATTGAAGAAGTTTGGCATGTTAGAGTACAATTCAACTGAAGCACCATCAGTTGTAAGTGAAAAACTCAATAAAGAAGATAAAGGAAGAAAAGTTAATATCAACCACTATCAAAGCTTAATTGGTAATTTATTTTATCTTATTAATTCAAGGTTTGATATAATATTTAAAACTAGTTTACTTTCTTGATTTAAAAATGATTCTAGTCATATCCATCTGGGTGTGATAAAAAGGGAATTAAAATATATTTAAAACACTTTACTTTATGGAATAAAATATGACAACGAAATCGAAGCAATGCTAGTTTATTTTTGTTATAGTGATTAGATAGGATGTATGAATAATGATACGAAGAACACATCTCACTTGATTCAAATGTATTTTCATGATGTGTAAAGAAGAAAAATATTAGTTATTTTTTGTAAATTTTCTTAAGAAATTTTATTGCTTATAATTTTTATAAAAAAATAACAAAAATATTCCTATAAAATATGAGAATTTTAATAGAGCAATAAGGTATATCAAAATCTTCTACAAAAGCTAAATATATTTCAGCTAGCTTATCAACCTAACAAATAATTTGATTAAAGAAAATACTAGAAAATTTTGGTGATGAACAAAATACGGAAATTATTTATTATGATAACAGATAATCATTATTATGGGTAAGAATCCAATCTACCAAGAAAAAAAAAAGTATATAACCATTAAACAACATTTTAGAGAAACAATTGAAGAAAGAAAAGTGAAATTGGAATTTTACAAGCTCACTTATCAACTTACTTATATTTTTATGAAAACTTTGTCTAGAGAAAAGTTATAAAAAATAAGAGATACGTTTGGTGTTCAACAAGAACACATTAAAAGACAAATAGTTGGTAATTATTCATTATGATAATAGATCAACCATTATCATAAGTAAGAATCCAATCTACCATTAAAAAAAATAAAGTATATAACCATTAAACAACATTCTAGAGAAACAATTGAAAAAAGATAAGTGAAATTGTAATTTTATAACTTCAATTATCAACTTACTTATATTTTCATGAAAACTTTCTCTAGAGAAAAGTTTTAAAAAAAAAAACAACGTTTGGAGTTCAACAAGAACACATTAAAAGAGAAATAGTTGAGTCATGTATTGTCATTAAAGAAATTTTAAAGATTATTTACGAGTTTTTATATTATCTCTCATGGAGAATATAAGTGAAAAGAAAAAAAATACAAAAATAATAAAATAAAAACAATTTAATTAGTAAATTATTTTCCTTTTATTTAAAAATATTTTGCACAATCTTAAAAAAAAAAGTAAGTTGTTTAAGTGTTATATTAACTTGAACACTTTCAATTAGAAAGATGAAGAGCAAAAGAAGTAATTAAGTAATATATTATAACCAATATATTTTGACATTTTTTTTAAGCCTTAAAAAAAGAGGAGAGAGGTAATGTTGACGTACTCATCTCTTCTTTACCATAATACGGGTTAAGGAACCGGTAAAAAGAGGAAAATATTAAAGAGAAAAACATCGTTATTATGGAAAAATTGTTAATCAATTACATATGTATACCTGGAACCATGTCTCCTCAGTACGCATTTGAACATAGTTTATTGATAATCCGAATCTTTCTTCTGGATGATCCAACTTTGCAGCTAAGTGAAGAACATTGTTACCCTCAAAATCAACTAATTGAACCATCACATTCTTGGAATCCCCCTGGTTTAATATTAGTCGGTATACAGTTTCTTGTCGATGCAGAATAGCAATGTGAAGCAAGCTTCTTTGCTCCGTGGAATCCACTTCAAAAAGCAAATCTGGATGGTACTTGAAAAGAAATTCCAAAATCATAATGTTTCCTGATTTAGCCGCAACGAACATTGCTTCTGACAATTTTGCATAGTTGAGAGACTCTTTCTCTTCTTCCATTCCCCTAAACAACGAGCTTACAATATCTGTACAGCCAATAGCTTCCTTGCTTAAAGCTAGCGTTGAGTTGAAATAATTAGTCATGTACACATTCAAGAATTAGTTAAAATAAAGTAATTAGTACACATATTGATAGATCTACATTAACTACAATTGATATGAAGAATCCTCAAGAATATGGTCCAATTGACTTGTAAGCTATATTCTTCCTGGAAGATATAATGGTGCTCTTGTCTATCTCCACGTGAGTAACAGTAATCTTCAGGCGAGGCTAGGTTAAGAGTGTGTGAATGTCCATGAGTATTTTAATGATCGCTTTAGGATTAATTAATTAGATTCAGAAAACTATGAGCATGTTTATTTTATTTTTAATTATGTCATGTTTTCAATTTTTAATTAATTATAAAACTGCAACTTAAATTGAAACATTAAATAACTTTTTTTTTCTCTATTCTCTATATAAATTCCAAAACAAAATGACTGTTTCAACTAAAAAATAAAAATAGAAAATGAGAACAAAAGTAAACGAGTCCCAAGGCATTTCTGAACTAGAAAAATCAAGCTTGTAAAGATTCATAGAACTCACAAAATCGAGCAAGCTTTTTCAAAGGTGTCAATTCCCCATCATCTTCTACGGTAACCAATTTTGGATAGTGATCCAACAATTTTGCTGCCATGGCTGTCATGTCCAATATCAAATAAAGAAGAGCAGCATCATTCATTGTGCAAAAAGAAAAATTATTATTAAATATTGAAAAGAAACGTGCTTCAGAGGGATGCAGTTTGCTTGTGTCAAGAAACACACAGTTGCTGTGCAGTGGGGTGGGGAAGGTTGTTTAAAGAAAAGTGAAACTGCAAAATATCTACGCGTATCAGTAACAAAAGTTAGGGATAAAAAAATTCCTCACTTGATCATAAAACTTTTATTGGAGTTATTTTCTTAAAAAAATTATATATAGATTGTTTTGCCACAGATTATACTTGTTCTTGTATCTATTGTTATGCATAAGAAAAGTGGATATGCTTACTGTAAATATTGTTGTCGATGGTCAAGAAAAATAGCTTGACGATGTCTTGGAAGGGTATAGTTTTGTGTAGGTCCTCTTTAAGAGCTTGAAATAAAAATTCGCCCATTGGAATATGCCCTGCAGAAGATGATAATTGAATTGGCAGCATATCTTTCTGGCCTTTAATCCATGGCAACCTTGGATTCTTGCGTAACATAATTTCAGCAATTTTCACATTTCCAGTTATCGCAGCCAAACAAAAGGCTGTGTTTCCATCTGCCATGGAAATTTCCAAATCTTCCATGTTCATACAATTCACCAGCTTTTCTACAAAACTAGTTTTTCTCATCCTAACTGCAACGTGCAGTGCTGTAATTCCACGTGCATTTAATGGAATTCGCCACCAATGAGGATGACTTTTAAAATAGGATGAAGCCTCACTCCAATTTCCCGAAGCTGCTGCTATATATATTTGCCTTTTAAGCTTTTCTGCATCTCATGCGCTTCATATATCAAATTTCTTTCAGTTTGACTTACTTGAACATTATAAATAAATATAAATACACGCATAACAAATTATAAATGCATGAGAATTCAATCATTGGACGTTTTCATAAGCGAAACTATAAATTATATTTACAATATTATATTAATGGCTTAAATTATATTCTAATTTTATAAGATTATTACATGGTATTGACTACTTTTTTTTTCATGCAAGATGTGCATTAAATATAGAGAAATCGGGCAAGAAATAAATTCATGATATTAAATCATAATTTATCATAAATGTTTTAAAATTATGATTTTTTTGATAGATTTTTAAAAAGAACGCATTTGAGATTTTATAATTTCTGTAGATGCATGTCACATGAAAAGCATCCAAATAAATTTTAACTTAAAAAACAAACTTTTAAATAGTGAAAAATGAAAATAAATTGAAATAATTGTAGCTTAATCTTTTTTTTTTTTCTAACTCAAACTTTACTTATAAAGCTGTGCAACTACAATAGTTCGTTTCTTCTTGCACTACTTCTAGTATCAAACAACCTTGTATTACACAAACAGAACTGAAACTTTTTAAGATATAGAAATATATTGTATTTAGGTTGATTGTCACCATTCAAAGTTATTTTTGTGATTACAAAAGTTAATACTACATATATTTTGTTGAGTAAATCTCTCAAAGAATTAGACCCAAATAAGATAAAAATATAGAAGGTGATTACTGTAACTCGCAAGAAGAGACATATAATTAAATACAAAAATTAAAACCCTCAATGTTCTCATCTCCTTCCGTTTTTTTTTTCTTTTTTATATAATCTCTTTATTGTCACTAAAAATTAAATAATTTTCAAAATGTAAGAAATGAAGATAAAATCTGAGAAAGTCATACTGTCTGCCCCCAAAACAAGGCTTTTGGGTCCCTGTGATTGAAGATGCTGTGCGTCACCAACGACAATATCCAGTTCACTAAGATCTGTTGATGCATTACCAAAGGAATTGTCTTTATCAGAATTGAAACATAAGGTAGTGCAATGTTTTATACAACTACAGAAATTAAAAAGGTAAATACTTTGTTCATGGTTGAATTTATGCACAATACCAACGAATGTACAAAATTTAATCCGGGGTAAGCATTGATTTGACAAAACTAGAACAAAAAACGTCATTAATAATTTTGAATTAAACTTACTCTCGAGCTTGGAAATGTCATCTGCAGCTGACAAGATAACTCCTTCCGAGTCTGACATAATTTCGTTAAGTCCGTTTAAGCTATCGGTTAAGTTCGGTACGGATCAAAAGGGTGGATATATGACCAAATTTTCACCGGTGAGATTCCGGCCACCGGAAATAGAGACCTTTTTGTTATGAAACCCTTTCTATCCCAAAGTACACGGTTACTTAACAAAGTCTTTTCTTATTCTTTTATTAGCCTTCTCTCCAGGTCCCACAGATACTTTACGTGTAAATTGAAGAGATGCGATTTTTATCCCTTGCCCTTCTTACACTCTCTTTCCTCGGTACTCTCGTTTTTACTTGCATGTTTCTACCATTTGTTTAAACTGTAACTTGTATCAAATCGGGTTAATTCTTGTTGCCTCTCATCTGTTTTCCTTTTTTATGTTTTTATTTCACGTTAGTCCATATCTTTTTTCTTAATTCTATTTCTTGAAAATCATAGAAGTTACTAATAATGAAGCAAATAGTGTCATGGAGAATTTTTAGAATTCCATCAGCCTGATTATTATTCATGGAACAGAGATGTGCCTTGTTATGCTAAAACATGTTAAAATTTGTAAATGGATTATTGTTTAACCTGCACTCTATAGTAACGATCTTTAACTATGGTTAAAATTGACATAATATCGTTGATTTGTCCGTGACCAAGTCATTGTTATATATGAGAGATACAATGATAGATGAAGACCGTTGTTATATGTCAATATACGACAATAATTATTTATAAATTTTTGTATTTCAACATATAATGATGATTTTGACTGTAACTGCTGTAGAATTCTTGTGTAAAGTATGTTTATAAAGATGATTATGGTATTAATTATTGTTGTAATTTTTTTAATAAGTAATCTGTTTTATGACTTTATTACTAGGAAAAAAAGATTTTTTATAACAATTATTTTAGATTTTGTATGTCGGTTGTAGAATGGATATACAGATCCAAGTAACATAAGAGATAGAACTTTCTACATTACTTATTAAATATCCAACATAGTAATTATTTATTATGTCAATTCTTAACATAACCGTCATAAAAAAATATTATGTTAAATATTTTTTATATAATCATATTTCTCATAAACATTTTATCAAATAATTTTAATGCAACAAATTTCGCAAAGTAAACACAAGCATTATTCACATACAAAAACACAATTAAACATAAAATGTAAATACATTCGCTTAAATTGAATGAAAAATTATTCATAAAATATAAAATTCATAATAATAATTGCAATATAAGATATTAGATAACTTCATTAAACCAAATCAGGAAACATAAACTAATATAGAAAAATGAAAAAATCAGGAAATATAAACTAATATAGAAAAATAAGATAATTTTTCCATATTTTATCTTTGTTGTAAATGAGGAAGAAGTAAGATTGTGAGAAGTGGTGGTTCAAGCATGAGGAAAACAAAAATAAATGAATGTGATAAGGAGACAATGAAACAAGAAAGAACAAATTGAGTAGACTTTTTCGTACAAGGGAAAAAATAGAAAATGAGAAAGATGAAGATGAAAAAGCGAAATTGAATATTTTAAATATGTGTACTTTTTATAACGGTTCAAATTGAATCGTCATAGTAAAAATTTTATATATTGATTCAATTTTGAACCGTCATAGTAAATATTTACTATGATGGTTCAAATTTAATCGACATAGAAAGTGTATCATATTTAAAATTGACAAAATAACTTTCTATGTTGGTTCAAAGTTGAAACGTCATAATAAGTACTTACTATGACGGTTCAGAATCAAATCGACATAAAAAATGTCTAAATTATAATTTACAAAGCACTTACTATGACAGTTCATAACTGAATCGACATAGAATCTACTTACTATGACGGTTCAATTTTGAACTGACATAAAAAGTCATAAAAAATGAATTTTAATTATGAAATTACCACCATCCAATTTATTACGACGAGTGAATTAGAATCGTCATAATAAATCACCATAAAATACTTTATACTAGTATATTCCATTACCTACATATTCAATAAGCTTAGTATAGTACAATACAAATTTTAAACATATTTACAATATATAAGCAATTATAAATATATATAATAGTTACTATCTAATATTAGTTCCACTAAGACATGCATATTGAAAGACTCACAAACAAATCTATCAAACACTTCAACATCTTCATCTCATAATAGTTTCAAATCTTTAATCAATAGATTAATATATATATATATATATATATATATATATATATATATATGTCATTTCCTAATTGTATTGGATCTGGAATCATCATAGAGAAATGACCACAGTATTTTAGTTGCATAAAATATATATAAAAAAAATCAATAAGCTGCTAAACTAATGCAATACCATTAACCTTTATTAAATCTTACGAAGGACACAATTATAATTATAAGAATGTAGTAATTGTTATATATTATTCTTTCAAAAAAAATAAATAAAGGGATTGATGATAGAATAATAACAAAGTAAAAAAGAATAAATTATTACATAATAATAAAAATTAAAATCAAATTATAGTAAAATAACAATAATTAAAAATTAAACTAAAGTATAATTTAACTAACTGAGATTTATAAAATTAAACAAAATGCTTCTAATTGAATTCAAAGATTGTAAGAATAAAATGTAGAATAAAAATTTTCTTTAAAATAAAATAGTATAGTAATTAAATTTAATTTTTTTTAAAGTAATAAACTTAAAATTAAATTGAGAATTACATGTGGAACTAAATATTAAAAGGAAATCGAACAATAAAATAAATGGATTCAAAAATTAAAATTTGTGCTAGAATAAAATTACGTGAAAATAGTAAAAGTAAATAAAATAATATAAATTAGAAGTATAATAATAGTAGATAAACAATTCTCACCTTATGGAAAGAGATTATGATTGTGTTCTCGTCAAACATCTGATTAGAGGGAATTGAACAAGATAATGTTTTACCATTCATCACTTCTGCTGGCACATATTATATAAGGATCTGGTTTCCGATAAATTTTTTCATATTGCATGCAGAGTCAATTCAATTGAGGAAAGGTATACAACAGATTCACTCGTACACATGCGGAAAAAAAAAAAAGGATCACACAACTTTTAATGAAACAGTCCTAAAAATAAGAAATGTTATTCAAACTTTCCCACTCGTAGAACACCAGAACTCTTGAGAGTCTTATATATTTTTTACGCCTTTCTTGTTTGGCAAAGGGAGATAGGATCCATAGACTTTGGAATTGTCCATAACAATCTTGTCAGCTTCTCTAGAGCTACCTTGGAAAAGGATAGCACGAAATGGGTAACAATGCTACTCCAGAGAGTATAGTCAAGTGTAAAATGCACCACGAATACCAGAAGACCAAGTCCAAGAGTGAAATAAGGGCCCCAATTGGATAAGAAGTCAAAGATCAAGGTGGCACCGGAAATTATAGTAGTCAACATGGTTCCACCAGAGAGAAAAAGTGACAGGCTACCAAATATAATCTTTTTTTCTTGTACGTGGACAGACTGATCTTTTGGTTCTATATCTGGAGGAAAAATAGCTGAAGCATAGAACAATATAGATGAAGCACAAAAACATGTTTCAAATCCAACTGATAAAAAAAAGATCGTATACCATGTCTTCTTCCGGAAAATTGGAGTAGTTGTACTATCAATATCCTTAATAGGAATGGTTACAAATATGCTTATCCCCAGGGTGATGATAAGAGTTGCCACCACTATTAAAGTATTTGCCAAAGCTGTCGTTTCAGCTATAGATTCTTTGTGCAACTCTTTGTGTGACCAATAAAATAATTCTTTAGGGGTGAGACCATCTTTATTTCTCATTGTTTGCATTGCAGGTGGAACTATTTTCTCCACTTCCTGATATTATGAAGACGAAGAGCAAAAGAAGAAGTAAAGTAATTGTAAAAGCAACAAAGATATTTTAATATTTCTTTTATATATATATGAAAAAGGGGAGATATCTTGTTACGAATCGATCTCTCCTTTTCTTACCATAAATAAACGTCTAAAAAGAAAATATTGAAGAGAAAGGTTCATATTTTATAGAAAAAAAAAAACTAATCAAATGGATAAATTACCTTAAACCATATCTCTTCTTTACGCATTAAAACATACGTTCTCGGCAATCCGAATCTCGCTTCAGGTTGAGCCAACTTTCCGGCTAAGTGAAGAACATTGTTACCCTCAAAATCAACCAATTGTATCATCACATTCTTGGAATCCCCCTGGTTTAATATCAGGCGGTATACAGTTTCTTGTCGATATAGAATAGCAATGTGAAGTAAGTTTCGTTGCTCCCTGGAATCCACTTCAAATAGCAAATATGGATGGTACTTGAAAAGAAATTCTAATATCACAATGTTTCCTGATTTTGCTGCATCGAACATTGCTTTTGACAATTGTACATTGTTCAGAGACTCTTTCTCTTGTTCCATCCCCTTAAACAAGGAACTTACAATATCTTGATGACCAATAGTTTCCTTGAACAAGGCTACCATAGAGTTGAATTAATAAGCTTATACAAGTATATTTTGCTAAATATTTTTTATTATAAGCTTGTTAAATGAAGTATACACACTTATAAGGATTACGAGAACTCACAAAGTTGAGCAAGCATTTGCAAAGGAGTCAATCCCACATTATTTTCTTTGGCAACAACCAATTTTGGATAGCGCTCCAACAATTTTGAAGCCACGGCTGTCGTTATTACCAGTATCAAATGAAGAAGAACAGGAACAAATCATTAATTAGGCAAGAGAAATTTAATTTTAAATATGCAAGACATGTGTAAGTATTTGAACTGCTTTTCATTTATTTCTTAATTGATTTTTTTCTTTTTTACTGTTGTTACAGAAATTTAATCATACCAATATTCATTTTGTGCCGGTTTTGAATCCATTATTTTGAACTTTTACTTTAACTTTGCTGTAAAAAATCATTCAACAAACTGAAATGGATATTTTTCTGCAACAAAATGTAGATGAAAAGAACCAATTAAAAAACAAATATACAAATTTAATTACTCAGAAGAAAAATAAATTAGTTTAGAGAAGTAATTAAAAATTTTCAAATAGTTCATAGATTAATATAAACTACTTCATAATTTATTTCTTGTATTTATTGTTATGCAAAAGAAATGTGGATCAGCTTACAGTAAATATTGTTGTTGATGGCGAAGAAAAATAGCTTCACGAGGTCTTGGAATGGTATACTGTTGTGCAGGTCCTCTTGAAGAGCTTGAAATAAAAATTCTGTCATTGGAATGTGTCCTGCAGAAGATGCCAGTTGAATTGGCAGCATATCTTTTTGGCCTCTAATCCATGGCAACCCTGAATTCTTGCGTAACATAATTTCAGCAATTTTCAAATTTCCAGTTATTGCAGCCAAACAAAAGGCTGTGTTCCCTTCTGCCTTGCAATTTTCCAAATCTTGCACGTTCATAGAATCCACCAGCATTTCTGCAAAATTAGTTTTTCTCATTCTAACTGCAACATGTAGTGCTGTAGTTCCGCGATCATCCAACGGAACTCGCCACCAATGAGGATGAATTTTAAAATAGGATGAAGCCTCACTCCAATTCCCCGAAGCTGCTGCTATATATATTTTCCTTTTGTGGGTTTCTGCATCTCATGCACTTCATACAATCAATTTTCTTTCTACAAGTTTGACTTACCTATTCACAATATAAATATTATAGATTTGTTAGGAACAAGACAATAATAAAGGAAAGAATAAAGGAGAGAAAAATAAACGACACAAGAATTTTAACGTGGTTCGGCTAAAATATGTATGCCTACGTCCACGACTACACTAGGAAGTATTTTTATTTCTGTGTGTATCTTAAACTTTACATAGGGTTGCTTATATAACAAAATAGAGAACCTCATCTCACAATCCTAATCGATGTGGGACTAAATCAAGCACCATAATACTAACAATTCTCCCACTTGGAGTTTGATTTACGTTACCACCTAGTGTAGTGCCTTCATCATCAATTTGCTCGAAGGCCGGTTGAGGCAATGCAAAGCCTCAACTTAGTTGTTGTAACAGATCTTGGTCAACATATCGGCGAGATTCTCCGCACTGGAATCTTCAACAAACTCAAGTCTCCATCATTTATCGGGTTTCGATAAAATGATACTTCAATTCAATGTGCTTACATCCGGAATGAAGGATTGGATTTTTAGCAAGACAAATAGCACTTTGACTTGTCACTAAACAACGGAGAACCATCTTGTTCTCTTCCTAATTCTTTTAGAAGGTTCTTCAACCATATCATCTCCTTCGCGCTTACGAGATAGCTACATACTCGCTTCGATGGTTGAGAGAGAGACCCTTCCTTGAAGTTTAGACTTCCAAGCGATAGTTGTACCACCCAATGTAAAAATATAACCTTGTTGTGCTCTTTCTACAGTCAAGATCACCTCCCAAGTACGCATCGAGAAAACCCACGTAAAATGAGATTACTTCTCTTGAAAGACAAATGCATCTTTGAAGTGCCTTTCAAATATCCGAATATCCACTTCACTCCTTCCCAATGCTCCTTTCCGGGATTTGATAGAAATCTGCTCACAACTCCCTATTGCATGTGCTATGTCGGTGCTTGTGCAAACCATAGCATACATCAAGCTTCCTACTGCAGATGCATATGGCACTTTAGACATGTGACTTTCTTCTTCTTCGTTTGAGAAGATTGCCTCTTTGAAAACTTTAAGTGAGTTCCCAAAGGTGTATTCCTGGTTTTAGCATTCCCAACATTGAATCTGCTAAGCAATTTTTCTATATATTTTTCTTGAGATAAGTTCAAAATACCTTTATCTCTATCTCGGGAGATTCTCATACCAAGAATTTGCTTGGCTGGACCAAGATCCTTCATTTCAAAGCTCTCGACAATTGTTTCTTCAACTTGTCAATTTACGCCATATTAGCTCCAACAATCAACATGTCGTCAACATATAAGGCAAGAATGATATAGCTATCAACATATTTCTTCACATAACAACAATGATCTTCTTCACATCTGCGAAATCTGAGTTTCTCATAAACTCATTAAACTTCTTGTACCATTGTCTCGGCGCTTGTTTTAATCCGTACAAACTTTTATGAAGCTTGCATACAAGATTTTCTCCGCCTTGTACTTCAAAACCTTTTGGTCGTGTCATAAAAATTTCCTCTTCAAGATCCCCATGTAAGAATGCGGTTTTGACATCTAAGCTGCTCCAAATGAAGATTTTCTGCGACTACTTATACTCAAGATAACTCGATGGTAGTCATCTTGACAACGGGAGAGAAAATTTACGTGAAGTCAATTCCTTGTCTTTGTTGGAACCCTTTCACTACGAGTCTAGCCTTATATCTTTTCTTGCCATCCGGTTCTTCTTTCAACCTATAGACCCACCTGTTTTGCAAAACTTTCTTTCCTTACGGTAGCTTGGTTAAAGACCATGTTTTATTCTTCGAAGGGACTTTATCTCATCTTCCATTGCTAGCTCCCACTTAATAGATTCATCTCCTGCATAGCCTCGACAAAATGCTACGGCTCACCGGCATCGATCAACAACAAATAATGCAATGAAGGGGAATACCTTTGTGGTGCTACAATTGTTACTGCTAGATCTTCTAACCAAGATTTCGGGAGTTGCTGACTCTACTATTTGTTCGGGTTACGTCTCGAGGCTCCGACATAGGCTCTACTTGTATATTACGCCTTCGGTTGACTACATCACTTTACGAAATTTCTTCTAATGATACTTGCTCTAGTTGTTTATTTACATTTGCGGATTCGCAATCCTGTCTCTATAGAACATGTTTTCATTAAAAGTAACATTTCTACTTCGATAATTTTCTTGTTTTGGTCATCCCAAAACACTGTAGCCAAACATGTCGGATCCATAACCAATGAAATAACAACGTTTTGCCTTAGGGTCCAATTTATCTCTACTATTAGAGTCTAACATAACATATGAAGCACAACCAAAAACTTTCGGATGTGAAAGATTTACCTCTTTTCCGAGACCATACTTCTTCGGGTAACTTATAGTCTAAAGGAGCTGATGGTCCTCTGTTTATGAGATAGGCTGCTTGTGCTTATTGCATCTGCCCAAAATACCTTGGGTAATCTATTTGGATTCTCATACATCTTGCTCTCTCATTCAAGGTTTTGTTCATTCTTTACGCCACACCGTTTTGTTACGGTGTTCCTGGACTTGTCTTGATCATTCGATCCCATTCTACTGAACAAAACTCCTTGAATTGACTACTTGTCATATTCTCCACCATTATCGAGACTTCAAACATTTGACCTTTAAACCTGTTTGAGTCTCAACCTCCTTTTTCCACCTTTTAAACACGAGAAAACACATCAGATTTATTTTTAAGAAAATAAACCCATACCTTTCTTGTAGAGTCATCAATGAAGGTTACATAATATTGTGAACCTCAAGGGATTTCACTGAAGCGGCCCCAAACATCTGTATGCACTAGTTCTAGTCTTTCAACTTTAGACGACTTACTTGTTTTGGAGAAGCTAACCTTTTTACGCTTTCCAAAGATACAATGTTCGCAAGGTCCAACGTCAACATGCTTCACGTTAGGTATTTTACCTTTTGATATCATGAGCTTCATTCCTTTCTCACTCATATGCCCAAGCCTCGATGCCATAAGGAGGAATTGTTGTCAACTTCGCAGCTGATATCATATCCTCATCTGCAATCATGTAGAGAGATCCTTGCTTCTTTCCACGAGCAACAACAAGATTATCTTTCATTACCTTCCAATGTCCATCTCCAAAAGTGGTGTAATGTCCCTCATCATCCAAGCTGCCCTATAGATATTAAGTTTCTCTTTAAGGTTGGAATATGTCGACATTATTCAAAGTCCACACGTTTCCATTAGAGGTTACGATGTTAATATCACCTCTTCCTATGATATCAAGAGATTTTCCATCTGCAAGGTAGACCTTCCCAAACTTTCCAGAAACATAGTTAGATAATAGTTCTAAGGAAGGTGTAGTATGAAATGAGCACTTTGAGTCCATAATCCATGAGTCAATAGAATTATCTAAACTACATAACGAGTGCATCTTCAACTTCATCGATTCTTTGCATTTGTTGATTGATCATCATCTTGCTTCTTGTTGTTGTTGTTGTCCTTCTTTGGAGCCCTACATCGATTTGAAAAGTGGCCCTTTTTCGACAATTCCAACAAGTGATATCATTCCGGACTTTTGCTTGTGATCTCCCTCCGGATTTTGATCTGCCTCGGCCTTGATTACGACCTTTCGGCGACTTCTTCCTCTAGTTTCAGCACTCAATGCTGAACCTGAATTAGAACCGAAAGATTCTACTGAATTTTTCCTGCGAACATCTTCGCTTAAGATCAAGTCACGGATGTTATCAAGCTTCAACTTGTTATTGCTTGCGGAATTACTAACTGCAGATAGCAGTTGCACTCCAACTTTCCGGTAGAGATGATAATAAAATTAATGCTTTCAGCTCATCATCAAATATTATCCTGACTGATGTCAACTGCGCAATAATTGCATTAAATTCACTAATATGATTAGTAACCGAGTTACCTTCACCCATTTTGAGGTTGACTAGCTTGCGAATCAAATGCACTTTATTGGATGCGAGAGGGCTTCTCATACATATTTGACAACGCCTGCATCAAATCTACGGTTGTCTTCTCGTTCATGATGTTGAACGCAACATTCTTGGCTAATGTCAGCCGGATCACACCAAGCGTCTGCCGATCTAACAACTCCCATTCTGACTGCTCCATGTCGGTTGGCTTCTGCCCTGTCAAGGGTAGATACAACTTCTTCTGATACAGATAATCTTCCATCTGCATCTTCCAGAACCCGAAGTCACTGCCATCGAACTTCTCGATCCTCACCTTTCCTTCTTCCAATGCCATTGCTCTCACTGCTTTCGAAGAAAGCTCCCACTGCTTCTCTAAACTGAGATTCCCAAGAAAAAAGACCAAATCTTTTCTGATGTGGAAGATCAGACAAAGCTGCAACCACAGAGCATACTAAGAAAATTGGCTCTTGATACCAATTGTTAGGATCGAGCGCTTACCACTAGGCCAAAAGCTATAGCCATTAGTCAGAGCGCAACTCTTTTTACTTTAACAGCCCAAGCGCCACGATTCAATTGTGACTCGGCCCACCTGACCTTCGTCACAGGACAATTGATGCTACCTGCAACAATCTCCCCCTCAGCAATTGTCCTACAAGGTATCCCACTCTTGGATTGTGACTTGGCCCACCCGGCCTCTGCCACGGGACAATTGTGCAACCTGCAACAATCTCCCCCTCAACAATTGCCCACCAGGAATCGAACTCGTGACCTTGGCTCGATACCAATTGTTAGGATCGAGCGCTTACCACTAGGCCAAAAGCTATAGTCATTAGTCGAGACGCAACTCTTTTTACTTTAACGACCAAGCGCCACGATTCAATTGTGACTCGGCCCACT